GGGGCAAGACCAAGGCTGGTGCCAGCCCACTGTCCCGGGCCTGTGGGAGGGGGGCCTGGAGGGGGGAGCCTGGTCTCAGTGTGGGGGTCGGGGGTCAGAGGCCACAGCGGGCGGCAGGCTGACGTGCTCCCGATGGCATAGGGATCCACCACAAGTACAACAGCGGGAAGTCCAGCACCTACGTGGAGAACGGCACGACCTTCGACATCCACTATGGCTCGGGCAGCCTCTCCGGGTACCTGAGCCAGGACACCGTGTCGGTGAGCTCCTCCCTTCTCGGCGCCACCGTGGAATCAGGCTCGCTGACCCCCGCACCCACCCGGGCCGGGCCTTGTGGCTCCCTGGAGAGGCTGCTGAGTTTGGACGGCAGCAGCTGTCCGTGGGCGGGAGCTGGGGTCCCAGCTGAGTGCAGGCCTGGACGGGGGGAGAGAGCCTGCCGTGCTGGCAGAGGACAGCGAGTGGGGTGGGGACGGGAGCAGCCTGACCCAGTGCAAGCCCCAGGCTCCGCCAGGGGGGTTCGCAGGGCCAGTGGGGCAGAGCGAGGGCTTCAGCACCGATGGGGCCGGGTGCACAGGTGCAGGTTTGGGACCAGGGCCCGCGGAGTGGTTAACGGGGAGGCTCCGCCCTGGCTCCCGGCAGGTGGGCGGGCAGGTGGGCAGGTGGGCCGGTGGGAGGACTGGGCTCATTCTGATGCTTGGGTGTGAGGTGCCCGCAGGTGCTTGGGGCTGGTCCTGGGGGTCCTGCTGCTGGGGAGGCAGAGGTGTGGGGGAGCCCCTGAGGCAGCTGACAGGGCTCTGAGGACATGGGAACAGAGAGCTGGGGTGCTTCCTGTCCCCACCTCCGGGGGTGGGGGGCCTGCTCCCCCTCAAGAGAAGTCAGCAGGCCGTTGGCGGTTTATGGGTGTGGAGCTGGCTCGAGGCCCGGGAGCTGTGGGGGGATGAGGAGCAAAGAGACGATGGTCCCTCCCAGCCCTGGCCCCTGAGGCACAGGGAGGCAGCGAGCCTCCTGCTGGTCTGTCCCTCATCGGCTACAGGCGGCTCAGGCAGCCCCACGGCGGTGGTGGCACCTGGGCCATGAGGACCGGCAGCCCTTCCCATGGTGGTTCAGCTTTTCTCGGGCCACCCTCCTCCCCACCCCAAACCTGCTGGGCACCCTGCTCCCCACCCCAGGTCTGCTGGGCACCCTCCTCCCCACCCCAAGTCTGCTGGGCACCCTGCTCCCCACCCCAGGTCTGCTGGGCACCCTCCTCCCCACCCCAGGTCTGCTGGGCACCCTCCCCAGCTTCTCTCCAGGCCCAAAGCAGGATGTGGCCCAACACGCTCCCTCCTCCCCTGTCGCCCGCACAGCCTGTGTCCCCACATCCTGCTCTGTCTGGATGGGGTGGGGGTGGGGCAGCAAGGCCTTGGTTGCCAGTGGGTTGGGTTGTGGGGACCCAGTCCCCTGGGCTGGGCTGAGGGCAGGAGCTGCCCCGGTGGGAAGGGGTGGGGGCTAGAGCTGAGCAGGGCCTCCATCTGTGCTCCCCAATCCCTGTGAAAGCTCTCCTGCCAGAGTGGGGGGCCCCCCCTTGCCCCTTGTTGTGCCCGCTCCCGTGTGTCCAGCCCTTCATTCCAGCCCCCTGCCCTCAGTCCCACATGCCAGGTGATGGGCAGTGACCCAGCTGGATTTTGTAGCTGTGGCTGCCCACACGCAGGGTTGGCGGGGACGGCCCATCTGGGGCCCAGGGACCGGCTCACTCCATGTGGCCCACTGACCCCCTGCGGCCTGCAGGTGCCCTGTAATTCGGGTCTGGCATCCCTGGGCGGTGTCAAGGTGGAACGGCAGGTCTTTGGGGAGGCCACCAAGCAGCCGGGCATCACCTTCATCGCGGCCAAGTTCGACGGCATCCTGGGCATGGCCTATCCCCGCATCTCGGTCAACAACGTGGTGCCTGTCTTCGATAATCTGATGCAGCAGAAGCTAGTGGAGAAGAACATCTTCTCTTTCTACCTGAATAGGTTGGTGGGCGGGCCCATGTCTCCGTGGCCCAGCCGTGCTGAAACGCAGGGGTGTGGCGGGGTAGCGGGTTTAGCTGCGGGTCCTGTGTCCTCCCTGTGGGCCCTGGGCCACGCCCCTGACGTCTGCTGGAGGCAGCATGGCGCCCTTCCAAGGGGGAGCGGTAGCCCCCCAGAGCAGGCTGTGCCTCCCCAGGCTGTGCCTCCCCAGGCTGTGCCCGGGCCATGTGTCCAGTCTTGGTTGGTGGGCCTCGCCTCTGTGAGAACCAGAGCTGGGCCTAGTGAGGGACAGATTGGCCCAGAGTTGCTGGCTGCCTGGAGGGTACAAGGCCATGAGCCCCAGGGAGAACAGGCTGGCTCAACTCTCAGGGTTGCCCGGCACCCCCTCCCCCAGGAAGCCCTCCTTGGTTCCCCTCGTTGGGCACCTAGCGTTCCCGTCCCCATCTACCCACCGGCCTGATCCTGTGTCCTCAGCTGGCAGACCAGGAGCCCTGAGCATGGGCAGTGGCTGGGCCTGCAGTCCACTTGCGGTGTGGGATCGAAGCCCTCCCTGGGGGAGGGGCAGGCAGTTCCATTCCTTCCTGTGCCCCTTCTGGATCCTTCCATCCCTGGGGGCTCAGGAGGGTCCCCCTCTGGCAAGCTCTCTAAGATTGCCCCCCCACCCCTGGCCTCTGCCCTGGCCCAGCCTGTACCCTTCCCACCCGGCCCTTAGGCTGGACATAGGGTGGGCAGGGGGCTGACTGCCCCTACCTTTCCTCGCAGGGATCCGAGTGCACAGCCAGGGGGCGAGCTGATGCTGGGCGGCACCGACTCCAAGTACTACAAAGGCCCCATCGCCTACCTCAACGTCACCCGCAAAGCCTACTGGCAGGTCCACATGGATCAGTGAGTACTGGCCGAGCCTTGTTCAGGACTGCGGGGGGCCCTCCTCCAGCTGCCGGTCAGCAGGCCCCCGAGGAGCTACCAGCCGGGGCCCTGGTCGGTCCAGGAGGGGCTGTGCAATGGGTGGGCCTGGGCCCCAGGCCCCGCTGGCCCTCCGTGCCCCTTGTCACCTCCTGCTGCCTCTGCACACGGCCACATGGCCGCGAACCTGCTCTTGGCTTCTGGGCTCTGCTGCCCGAATGCTCACGGCCAAGGCCTGAGAGAGGAGAAGCCTCCTGCCAGGGCTGCCGCTGGGCACGGTGGGGGCTCGGGTGGCCCTGGAAGACACGCCCATTTCCCCTGCAGGGTCGACGTGGGCAACGGCCTGACCCTGTGCAAGGAGGGCTGTGAGGCCATCGTGGACACGGGCACCTCCCTCATGGTGGGCCCCGTGGACGAGGTGCGCGAGCTGCAGAAGGCCATCGGGGCCGTGCCGCTTATCCAGGGAGAGGTGAGCAGGGCGGGCCGGGCCGGCGGGGGGTTGGGGCCGGGTGCCCAGGTGGCTGTTCCCCAGGCCGCTGTCCCCCCCCCACACTGTCCCCCACACACTGCCCTCTTCTGCTTCAGTACATGATCCCCTGCGAGAAGGTGTCCAGCCTGCCCGAGCCTTCCCAGGTGTCACAGGGCGGGAAGACCATCTGCCTCAGTGGCTTCATGGGCATGGACATCCCCCCACCTGCGGGGCCGCTCTGGATCCTGGGTGACGTCTTCATCGGCCGCTACTACACCGTGTTCGACCGCGAGGAGAACCGTGTGGGCCTGGCCGAGGCCGCCAAGCTGTAGCCACCTGCCCACTGGCAGGAGAGGAGGAGAATCGTGGGAGGAGGCAGCGCCGGCCCTCCCAGCTGCCCCCCACCCCCACCCCACACACACACTCACACTCACACTCACACTCACACTCGCCTGCAGTGGCTCGGCTCTCCAGGCTGCCTGTGGCAGGCGCTGTTTTGTGGTTTTCCCTTCCCTGGTTGCAGAAGCCGCCTGTCTGTCCAATGGGGGGCTGGGCTGGGGCAGCCAGTAGGCTCATTCGTGCTCAGAGCCCTTTCACTCACCTGAAGACCCAGCTCGGCTGTGCATCCCAGGACCCCCTTCCTCCCCTTCCTCCCCCCGTCCCTTCCCAGCCTGGGCCTCGGGGCTGGCTGCCCTGGCGGAGCGTCTGGGCTGAGCCGCTGCCCTGCACCCGACTGCCTTCCTGGTCCCCTCTCCACCCAGCCTGGGGCCCGGAGCTGGGCAGTGCCGCCCCCCACCCGTCCATTCATCTCAGGCCCAGCGAGGAAGGGCCCCCTGAGGGCCAGCAGGAAGGAGACAAGAGCCAGCCCTGTGGGGCCTGACCCCACCTGGAAGGGCATGGGCTGGCCCGGGGAGGAGGGATGGGGGAGGGGAGCGTGCCTTCTCTGAGGCTGCCCCTTCTTGAGTGGCCAGGAGCCAGACCTGAAAATAAAGTTGTGGATCTGTGTGTGGGGCCTGCTTTGTGCTGGTGGGGTAGGTGGGACGGGACCAGATGGGACGCCCGGGCATGAGGAGGGGCTGGGGAAGCTGGCGCTTTGGAGGCTGACTTGGGGGGTTTGGGCGGAGGCGTGGTTTGGAGGTACTCTGCACCTGGGATGCTGGAGGCGGGGGCTGGCTTGTGCTGAGGCCTGGAGCAGCGACCAGCAGGGTGCGGCCTGGGCTGCAGGGCAGGTGAGCGCAGGCTTCCTTTGATGGGACATAGTTTTCAGTGGCTGCTGTGCCTTCCTGGACCGTGTTCCCGCCCTTGGAGGAGACCTCAGCTGCAGGGCCCCCGTGTTCCCCAGTCCCCCTGCACACCCCACGGGCTAGGAAGGGAGCCTGCGCAGGGCTGGTGGCGAGTGGGCAGCCTGCCTCCCATCTGGGCATCCTTGTTGCCCGCTCCGGAAGTAGCCTCACCCTGTGCTGGCCAAGCAGGCCCACCCGGGGTCACAGAGTCACAGGGTTCAGGCCACCAGGACACCCTCCCACCCCTTCATGCCCTCTGTTGAGGGGTGGGAGGAGGAACATTTCCAGGAGGTTTTGAGGGATGGATAGGAGTTTGTGAGCACCTGGTGGTGGGTAGGACTCCCTCAGGGACTCAGCCGCCCCGACAAGTGTAGGGTTTGGCACATGTGGCATCTGTCACTGGCCTGGTGACTTTCCAGCCTGCAGGGCCTGGCTGCCATTGGCCTGGCTTCGGGTCTGGGGCCCCAGGCCAAGCCATGGTGGGCACCTCAAAAGAGTGCAACCCGCATGGCCAGGAGGCTGGCCAACCCTGCACCTGAAATACGAGCAGGAGCGGGCAGACAGCACCTGGCAGGGCTGCTGGGGAGGCTGTCATCCAAGCCATGTGCGCTGAGGCCCCAAGGGCAGCGCTTCCAGGAGTGAGCCAGCCTCTGCTGGCTCAGGTCATGCCCCGGCTGGCAAGGTCGCAGGCCCATAGCTTGGACTCGCCATGCACGTGACCCTCCCAGCTGGCGTCTCCAGCCTCCGGAGGGTACCCCGTCCTGCTCTGGAACTTGGGGACCAGCACGGTGGGCCCAGCCCAGCCCTGGTCCAGGCCCTGCGGCCATTCATGCTCCTGCCCAGAGCCTGGCCCTGCGGCCACCCTGGGCCCAATGCCTGCCTCCCGACCCCACCCTTAGCCTCGCGTCTCCAGAAGGTGGGTAATAACAGCTCCTCACTGCAGACCTGCTCTGCCCCAGCCCAGCGGGCCCATGGGCAGGGGAGGTGGGTGGGCTTTCCGGCCCACACCCCTGCCTTGAAGTCCCCCCAGGTGGAGGCCTGTGGGGGCCTCGGTGAGGCAGCCTCACGGTGGTCTGCAGGACGGGTCTGACCTGCTGGGACCTGGAGCAGACCCCTGTGGGCCAGTGCCCCTTGCCTGCTGCCTGGGACCAGGTGGGCTGTGTGCAGATCAGGCCCCGCTGGTCACCCCTGCAGCCCCTGCCCAGAGGGCCGGCGAGCCTGTGGCAGGCGGGGCAGTGCCTTGCTGGGGGAGCCTCGCACAGATGCCAGGGAAGCCCAGGCCACACTCAGGCTGGGAGGGTACCTTCGGTGAAGGCTCAGCCCCCGAGAGAGGTCTGGATGCCCACACCAGGCCTCTGGAAGGGGCAGTGGGTGTTGGGTGAGGGAGACCTGAACCCTGGTCCCCGCAGACCCAGTGCCCTCATGCCAGCATGGGGACAGTGCGGAAAGCTTTCCCACACACATGTGTCACCAGCGTTTAAGGCTGACTCTGTGCCCCAGGTTCCTGACAAGCCTAGAGGAGGCTGTGCCAGGGCTGGGGTGGCGAGGGGGAGGAGGAGGACGGGAGGAGCTTGGAGAGGGGGTGGACCAGTGCAGGCTGGGGAGTGCATGGAGTTCCGAAGAGAACTGGTTCAGAGGACCAAGCAGAGAAGGGCTCCCTGAGAAGGAGCCAGGCTCAGGGGAGAGAGGGTCCAAGGGGAAGGGGGTTTCATGGGGGAGACGCTCCGAGCACAGGCCAGCCTCTGGGTGACAGGGCTTGAGGGGATGAGAGGCAGACGGGCCGCCATGCTTCAGGGCGGGTGGGGCCAGGGGACGGGACGAGGACCCAGCTCAGAGGCACCTTCGTGGTGGGGGTTTCCCGTGATGGAGGGGATCACTGGTGCTTTTGCAGGAGTGGGGGGTGGGCAGCGGGGACAAGTGAGAGAGACAATGAGGTGGTGGGTGGATGGAGACAGGCTGTGCCCGGCGGGCACTGCTTAGGGCACGTGACCTGTGGGGACAGCACCCACAGGGGATGGGACCCAGGTGGGCAGGACCCAGGTGGACAGCACCTTCAGGGATGGGATGCAAGTGGAATGAGACCAGGGGGACGGGACCCAGGGGGAGGGGAGCCAGGGGGAGGGGAGCCAGGGGGACAGGCTGGGCTTCTGGAGAGGGGAGGGCTGGTGAGTGGACTGAGCTCCAAGGAGAAAGTGCCACTAGGTCTTGGAGAAGGACATCTGGCCCCACGGGCAGACGGCCCAACTGGTGCGAGGACATGGGCCCTGAGACCCAAGTTTGTGAGGGAACTGGATCAGTGGAGGTGGGTTCAGAGGCTCCGCGGCGGAGGGCGGAGTCAGACTTGGGGAGAGGAGAGGCTTGGTGGGCTCAGGGGGCTGGCGCTGTGAGGGTCGCCTCTGGTTAGGACAGGATCCTGCCGGGCTGGGCACTGGGTGTCCATCCTGCCCCCAGAGAGACTGCAATTGGGGGCTTGCGCGGGTCAGATTCCAGGAGGACATGGGCCTGCGAGGGGCTAGTCTG